TATCGGTTACAAACTAGGTAAAAAATAAAGAATTCGTTAAGGAGCTAAACCTTAGGGAACTTGCGAATAATAAGGCCAATGAATTTGCGCCGAAAATGCGATGAAAAGAACCAAAAAAGAGCAAAGTTGGTCATTTTGCCAAAAACCACTAAGGTATTAGTTATACTGAAGATTGTTAAGAAGTGAGCGCTCCGACTCGCGTAGCCTCCGCGTAGTTCCCATAGTACCATTATTGCTGATGGTCCTTGAGTTATCGAAAAAGAAAAAGCTATTGCTACGACAGTCACTGTAACCCGATATTTTTGTCGCTGAAACTGCTAAATTTATGTTGGTTTACAGCTTACTGGTCACTACAAAATTTAGAGGATCAAGATGAGTAAACTTCAAAAAGTTTTTGATTACGTAAAATAGAATTTCACGAAACCATTTGTTGTATAGCACGCAGTGAAGTGCCATCTGCATGCAAACGAGCGGTATTTTCACTGATATGAAGTTGCCATACAAGCAGGGTGTTTAGGACAACCACGAGAACAATCGGAATGAACACCACCTGCAGGTGCCTTACTAATAAAATCTATTTTACAAATATTTTTTTCTATGTCTTATAAACGGTTCTTAGAAAGACCAGAAAAGTGCTTCAAAATGCGCTTTTTTAATAAGATACCTTCCTTGTTTTTAGCTAAAATATTTTACTGTTAAAACATTTACAGTTGCAATAGATGTTAAAAAAAAATGATTTTTCAAAATTCTGCTGCTAATTGACGTTTTGGAACTGTACACTCTTACCAACAAAGCATTGCAAAGAGTGCTGATCCATATAAAGTGACGTTTCATTGGTGAGGTATAAACTACGTTCGAATTCATCCAAGATACTGGATGTTTTTCATCTGTCGCAGAATAGCATGCTTGCGACAGTTGTGCACCATTACATGTGAAAAACATCTGGCAGTCATATTCAAAATGATGATATGTCGTTAGAACACCTAAATTTTCTTTATTTTATGGGTTTAGCTAAAAACAAAATTTTTTTGCGGTGAGATTATTCTTACAAATTTACACCACCAAATTTTTTTTTATGACACACGATACAGGCCATCGTAGGTATGCAAAGATCGCTAACCCAAAATTTCAAGGAACTTTTGCATCTTTGAAATCAATCCAAACTTTTTGCAACAAAAGCAATCATTTTAGAGAATGTATCGCTAGATTAAGAAGAAAGCCAATTTTTGAGTTCATCTTGAGTGTGTGATAGCCTGAGGCAAGCTTTCGCGCTTTTTAACTTATATGGTACTTTATGACATCTACTTACAGGAAAAAGCTGTCTTCACACAGCGAGGGAAAGGTTTCAATATACTTTTAAATAGAAATTAAAGTGCAACGATTAAACCTAATTTTATTCTGGAACTGTGAAAGGAAGAATTAATTTGTGAAGTGTTTCAGGTTGTTACCGCATTATCAAAAAAAAAAAAAAAAAATCAGTACAATTGAAATTGATTGACAGTTTACCAGTAGCAGCAAAAATTGATAAAAGAACGAAGTACTTGACCCGCTTCTTCCAATAAAAACGAGATCGCAGAGGGCGTCGAATTACCAGAAGTCGTTCAACAGATACTGCCAAAATTAACCTTTGAAAGGAACCAGTTGCTGTAAGTTGTTGAAAAATCGTAGCACAAGAAACTGTATTTATCTATTTTTTTTTTTGAAATTTTCTACTGAAGCAAAGAAATTTGAATAGAACTCGAATACTGACCATATAGCTGAGGCAGACATCCAGTTTGCCAATGCTCCAAGAGTTTGCTTTGTAGACAAGTAGATAAGGCGAAAGGTTAAACTTCTTTCAAATTTTTTAAAAGCTGCCAGACTGTGTGGTAACATCAACACGAGGAATACCAGGTCTGCGAAGCTTACTGCTGCTAACTGAAACGTTTCGAGCGATTCTATCGGCCAAACTTTTTCATAAAAGCGTCATCAGATTGTTTAGAATGAAATGTTAAGTGAAATAAATAAATAAAATTTTTCACAAATTTCTAATTTGTCCAAAACACTTCTAGGATAGATCTTATTTTTTAAACCCTAATTAAACAATCAAAAATTGTGAAACTTTTCCTGACAGTGTTCTTTCTGGTCGAATCGCTTTTTTTGTTAATTAATGGTAGTTTTTCAATTAAAAAATAACTGAACCATTTTTGAAGCAAAAAAATCTTATAGATTTTGCACAAGGTAAAAAATAGAAATGACCAAAACTTCACTTCAAACAACCTGACGACTTTAAGAAGTCGGCAAAAAAAATACTGGAAACTTTTTGAGACTAAACAAATCTCTTAATCGCTAAAAGTACATATCGCTTTTGATAAAAGGCTGTCTCTGTTTTTGCTTAAAAAACGAAAGGATACGCTGAAGAACCAATTAATATTCTTGTTTATCACGGTACCCGACAGTAACAAGACCTACCATATCGTTAGCTCGATTTTTGAATTTATCACTGTCAATTACCCACAAAATCAGCAAGTTTCCAACGAATCCTATTACAAATTGCACGGGAAAAATATAAGATAATAGAGCTCTATCTATCGATGTTATTGTTAAGTCGAGGCTTTTTTCTGGCAAGCATTTTGTATAATTTTCATACATTGCCTGGAAAACAAAATTTTTATTCTTATTTGCTAATTAAAAACATTATTTTCTTTAAAAGAATTTTTGAACTTTTTTTGGTTTTTTTTATCAAAAAACTTTTCAACAAAAAGTATTCAGATTTTTTAACTTTTTCTTTCTACTTTTTTTTTTTATTGAATCTAAACTGTTTTCTTTCTGTTGATTGTTATTGGCATATAGATTTATTATTACAAACTTCCAGACTTTTTAGCTACATTTTTTATGCTATATACAGTTGGTCATCTTGTAGAAGTTTTCAGTGTTTTATTTTACATTCATTTGATAACCAATAAAACCTTAAATCAGATTTACTGAAACAATTTTTTTTATTGATCAGCTTCATTTATCCGCTCACAACAGCTGCAGTAATCTTCTTTCACTAATGTACAAAATTTATTTGATGTCCAGGTTATAAACTGATTTTAAAAAAAAAGTGGTGCTTTTCCTGTGACCACTAAAGCATTCAAAAAAAAA